GAAGGGTTACCCTTCATCTGAACACTTGTGGCAAAAAGAAGCACACCTTGAACATGCAGATGATATGCTCTCTGCATATAAGAAATGCTTCCCCAAAGACTTCCCCCCTCAGAAACAACCCACTTGATGTCCCACTCACACCATCAGGAAACTCTCCATTGAAATGCCTCCTCATCACTATGCTTATCTTCATGAGCCTTCTCATTGCCACACCCCCTTTGCTTGTTGACAGCAACAACCTGCCAGTGATCAGATGATCACTTTGTACTGACTTTTTGTTGCTGACCCTGCCATTGTCAGCACTGTCTATCATGAGGTTGATGAGAACTCTCCTCTCGACCTTGTCTATCACACCACCATCCAAGCCCTCTGGCTTGAGGAACTATCCAGATACATAAATCAACAGAACCCCCTTCTGTGCCCTGCCTGTGTTGGAGTTTATCACTTTTACCTTAGTTGTGGTTCACCAAGCACAGCATTACATAATCCAAAAGCGGTCACTTAGCAGTTTATATTTTTTTACTGTACCTCAGCTTCAACCAACCTGAAGTCTGAGGTGGGACTCCTTCCATTCATTATATTGGAACACTTACTTACCTACCTACAGTATATTCCTCTCTATAGACTTGACAATCCTGCAGCTTGTCATCCTCCAAAAGCCTGAACCATCCTCAATGAAATAGCCTATGAGCAGGTTCCCTTGCTCCTCTGCCTCTTTGATGTCTTAGGGGGAGCTGATCTCATTTACAATGTCCATCAGTATCCAATGTTGATTGCCCCTCCTCCCCCTGGGTCTAGAAGACCTTTGACTGCAACCTCTCCTCTGGTTTCCTCTGTGTTGTCTTCTCCTCCAGCATCATTGCCATCGTCCTCCCACTCCTCTCACTTGTCTTGCTCTCTTAGAAGAGCTGATCGACCTCATGCCTGTTGTCTGTCTGGTGCCAATCCACAACCTTGCAAGTCTCATGACTCCCTGTCTGAGGTAGACCCCGAGACCACCTTTGGTGTCTCAAGAGCTGAACTTGACTACACTCTGAACATTGTCAAGACCCTTGCCCAGCTACCCCCATCCCCTGTTTTAAATGCCATGACTGAGGCTGATTGTCCTCTTACCCCTTCCAATCCATGCTACTGTCAGATGTGCTATGTCTGTCACTGTCTTGGACACATCTGTGTCAACTGTGGACTCTATGAATGTCCCCTCTGTCACACCACTCATCCTGGGCATACTCAAGCCCAATGTCCATCTTTGCACCCTTGTCATGCCTTACAAGAAGGAATCACCACTCCAGGTGTGATAGATGATTGTACCCTCATTGGGAGTGAGGATGATGACTTGTATGACAACAACTTTGACTTTGATGATTCTGCCATCAGCAACATGACTGGGGAACCCTACAGAGACTAGTTGAAGTCAGAGACTTCTATGCTTAGAAGGGGGGTAATGTTATGTTTCACCCCTGTTTTTCCTTATGTTCACCTTGTGTTTGATCTGTTGGACTACTTTTCCTTTTTGAGCCATCTCCTCTCTGATCCAATGGCTCTCTATCCCCACCATTAGTGTTGTTGGCTCAAGTACATGCTTAGGACATGTGTCACCATTGTTCAACCAATGGTGTAGTTACCTCATTACATGCAGTGTGAGTCAAAGTGTGGTTCAGTGGTGAAAACCAACCAAAACCAACACAAAAGACAAAAAGAGCAAGTGGTGGTGTGCCTATGCAGTACCTAGATGGTAGAACCTGTTCTTTGGGAGGGTTTTTGTGAGCTACAACACTCAAAGGCAAGTGCTGAGGGTTGGGGGTGCTCCTGATGAAGAAGGAGCAGGAATGCAAGAGAATGTGATAGGGTAGACTGCTGTCAGCCTACAGAAGGATGGATGATGACTTAATTCAATGTCCTAAGCTGCACTGAGCTCAGGGAGGGCTTGGAGCGAAGTATATTGATGATAGACAAGGATAAGCAAAGTAGACAATAGTTAGACCCTTAATAAAGTCTCAACTATCGAAGCTGCTGAATGAATTACTGAGTGATGATAAAATGCAAGCAAGAGGGGCTCTCTGATGTCTTTTTTCTTTTTTGCTATCTAAGTACAGTGATTTATATACAGTACAGGGGTGTTGCCCTTGGAAAACAAGGTGCAAACACTTGGTAAGTGATTGGTAACTGATGAGTAAGGAATGTAAGTGATGGGTAATCATCTTGGAAAGCATTGGTAAGCATTGGTATGGATTAGAAAGCCAAAAAGTGAAGAATCAGTAAGCAAAGTCAAAATATTGGTAAGTATTGGCAATAGGTGAGTCAAAGACAGTCAGAACATCAAAGTATGAGTCAAGTGATGTCAGGAACTGGGAAAGCACACTGGAATTGCATTAGGGGGAGGCTGTGCATGTCACATCTCAAAGAGATCACTTCTAGGCCAAGGTGGGATGACAGAGAGGCAGTGCTGATCTGATGCTGTGGTGCTACCTTGGGCACTCAGATCTTCTGAGTGAACTTCTAGTAGTTGGAGGTGGGGAGTGGTAAGGGATTCCAGTAGGAATGCTGTATGCACTGCAGTAGCTTCCAAAATGACTGTACGAAGACATGAAAATGATATTCTTGATGGGCTAGATGGAGGAACAGATCACTGCAGGGCTTGGCAAATGACAAGGGCCTGAAGGAGAGGCATATCCAGTAGAAACGCCATCAAATCATTCAGAGACAATCTGGAATCTGTGGGGAGATGGCAGAGAGTGAAATTCCACAGATTACAAAAGCCTTCAGGGTGGAACAGCAGCCAGTGGATTCCGAAATTATTGCAGGTGGCAATTCCATGGGAATTTCCTGAAATGGCAATCCTGCCACTGGGAGGGGGTCGAGTGTTCAAGCAGGCCCTGTGGGGCATCCACAAGGCCTGGGATGACTGGGGAGAGTGCTGGTGAACTGTGTTCATGTCCTGCCTATGTTTATCTACTTTATCTGCCCTCCTAGCTAGTGCAAAGTGGTGCAAAGTGACTGTGTTAACAAGTATGCAGGGGTAGTATTAAAAGTTGCACAGGAGCAGTACTAGGATGCTAAACCCAGCACCATCAAACACATGTTCACTCACTTTCTGATTCAATCAGCCATCGCCTGCAGCCCCCACAAATAATGTCCTTAGCAACCCCAGTCTCAAAACCTGTCCCAAATTCAACAATTCACATACCTCCACTGCTAGATGCAGTGTCAGGCTACTCATTGGTCCAATCACAACTCCATTGCAGCCAACAACTGCAACAATGACCAGGATCCCTCTCCCCTGGGTGTGGCATCCTGTAAGCAAAACCACCTGTCCTTTACTATGCATGTTCTACAACAGCTTGCTGTCAAATTCCCCTCTTTGTTTTCCAATGATTTCAGTCCTTCAGCTCTCTTATCAGCAATCCCCATGCTGACCACACACATGAGCTGCAGTGAAGATGTCACATGCTCTTCTTCCACATGTCATCATGCCTTAAGTATCTTCAGGAAACCATCAAACTCCAAGCATCAGTGACTGGTAGATGACCATTTTCAATGACATCCATCCCCCTGGGGTGTTTGTAAAGCCTCACCAAGCCAGCCATGGGATGTCATGGAGGGCCAGTTGTGAAGCACAATGACCAATACAACAACTGTGGGCTGCCTCCTCAGCATCCCAGTGGGCAAGGACAAGCAGGTGTGTCATTGCAATGAGCTCATCCATACTATGAATGTGAACTGCAGCCAGAGGCCCACACCTTCAAATGTAGCCAGATCTATGGCTCACCTGCACTGCAACTACTAGTTCAAGAAGCTGTCTGATAAGTGACAGCCTCAGAGGGAAAATGCCAGGTGTGTCACTTCTCTCACATTAAATAGATGCTATATCCTGACATTACCACCTGCAAGTCTGCAATGCAGTTGTCAGGCCTCTTTCACACTCCACTGGCTCTGGGAAGTGCAAGTTTTTGGGCTCCTGTAATGACACATCCTCTCTTAGATTCCTGTCACTCTTCTCCAACAAATTTGGCCCATCTGCCTTCCTTCACACTCAGCTGCCCTTTTCCAACACCATGAGTCATGGCAAAGATGTCACCAACACAACTTCTCATGGCTTCAGCACTGTGTGCCCATCTATATATCTTCTTCTCAACAGACTCCTTAGCATTATCAAGCCTACCAAGGACATGCCTTACTACTGCTCATGTCCAAGTATTGGTATGTCAAAATCTCAAAGATCCAGCAGTAAATTGTGAATAACATTGAATCATTCCATGTAGTGTTGCCCAACTGTCTAACTTGATGTCCAGCCTTGCCTCAGTACATAGCTATCACTTCCTAGAGATGTATTTGCATTTATTGACCTGCAAAAAATTTGGTCACCAGGACAATCTGAGGTCAAGCAGGGGATCTCACCTCCATACCTGGAGGATTGGGTGTGGCCTTTCCAGGTATACTTTCCAGAATGGGCCACTTCTTTCATCAATCAAACTGAGGTCCTCTGACAACTGTTGCAAAAGACATTGGGACCACTGGGAAAGCTCCAGAGCAGCTGGAGCAGTCTCAGGCAGTGGCCAGGATGAATGTGATCTACCACATCCAATTGCTACTGCAATGCTGGGTGTTTTGTTGAACAGGCTGCCACCTCAGTGTGCTTCACTCATTTCAGGCTGAACACTCCTTCAGGATCCAGGTCCACTGATGATTATTTCCAAAACAGGATTCAGACTGGCTGTCATGTTAGTCACAAAGCCAGCATATTCTCTTTGTTCTGTGCTTGGCCACTGATGAAGTATCTTTTAGTGGGTCATTGGTTATGAGTTGGCATCCATCTTTCAACATTCCATTGGCTCTACATGCAGTCCTCTCTCTTCAATCACATTCTACACTATACTCCATGGCACAGGTGCGCTTTTGAGCCATACAAGCATGCTCATCAAGTCCAAAAGGAGAGAATTTTGTGACATTGTGAACTGGCAGAGGTGCCTAACATAACTCTAGCAGGTGATCCAAGTCCCATGGATGAGGTGGATACTGAGCCACTTACTTCAGAGGTGCTCAATGCAACTCTAGCAGATGATCCAAGTCCCATAGATGAAGCAGGCACTGAGCCACCTACATTAGAGGTGCCAGGTGAAGCTCTAACAGATGATCCAATCTCCATGGATATGGATGCCAAGCCATTTACCCCTTCAGCTACATGTCATGATCCCCTTGATGGTGTTAGTGCACCTGTTGGACTGGACCATGGACATATCAAGGTATGCAACATTTGGCTGCTTCAGGTGTAGGCCATCTCATCTTTGCTGTTTCATTCTCTCATAGGAAATGAGTTCACATCTAGGTTCTACTGTCAAGCAGCCTGGATTTTCTAACCTGCTGCATTCTACATTGAAGAGGCCCAGGTCTCCTACCCCACCAATTGAACTTACTGGTACAGCAAAACATGCAACCAGTCCCCATCCCATGAAGAAGATGAAGACCAGTCATGCTGTCTCCAGTATGAGTTCTCATGGACAACAACCCACCATAAAGCCCCATGTTGTCAGTCCCTCACAGGGGTCTAGGTCAAGATTGGAACAGGATTCCATACACACTGGACAGGATGCCAGAACTGATCATTCCAATTGCATTGAGAGCATGGTATGTTGTTTCACCTTGTCAATACATTCATGTGTTCTATATTTTATATAGGAGTCTTCAGCCCAACTTGGCCCCATAAAGGAAGTTGATGTGGAGGGGGGCCAGGCCATCCACTCCTTCACTTTCAGATTTCTGATGCCCCAAAGGATACTTATGGGTGCAATGGCAACACTACATTTAGCTGGCCAAGAACAAAGTCATGAAGCCAACACAAGTCCTCACACTGAACACAATCCTGACCTGAATGATGGACCCTTTAGTAGCCTGCCACATGATGTTGGATCTAATGCTCAACAGAATGAATCCACCTCAAATGGTACTGTCATGCACACATTGTTTTCTGATGCACCACAGGACTCAAACAAACCATTCTCATCTGCCTTGTCAACACCTAGCCCTCCTCCATTCCCCTGCCCATTGCTTCCCAGTCTGTCACCCCCAACTTTTACAGACCAGGATCAGTTGCAACTTCCAGAGGAGAGAACTTCATGTGTGCAGATTGCACAGTGTGTACATCACCCATGGCCTTCCACCTTGTTGGGTGAGGACAGCACACCCAGTCTGACATCTAGTATTCTACAAAACCAGATTTTCAATGACAGTAGGGCACCTCATCCTCATAGTGAACAACCCTCTGGAAGCCTGCCACATGGTGTTGGGCCCAATGCACAACAGAATGAATCGACTTCCAATGGTATTGCCACACCTACATTATTTTCTGAGGCATCACAAAACTCAGATGATCAACTCTCATCCATCTTGTCAACACCTGACTCTTGTCTGCTCCCCTGCCCATCACTTCCCAGTCCATTGCCCCCAACTTTTATAGACCAGGATCAGCTGCAACCTCCAGAGGAGAGAGCTTTGCATGTGCAGATTGCACAGTCTTGCACAGTCTGTACATCACCCATGGCCTTCCAACTCACTGGGTGAGGACAGCATACCTGGTCCAACATCTAGTATTCTACAAAACCTGATTTTCAATGACAGTAGGGCACCTTGTCCTCATAGTGAACAACCCTCTGGAAGCCTGCCACATGGTGTCAGGCCTAATGCACAACAGAATGAATTGACTTCCAATGGTATTGCCATGCCTATGTTATTTTCTGAGGCACCACAAAACTTGGACAATCGACTCTTGTCCATCTTGGCAATACCTGACCCTCATCCACTCCCCTGCACATCACTTCCCAGTCTGTTGCTCCCAGCTTTTACAGACCAGGATCAGCTGCAACCTCCAGAGGAGAGAGCTTTGTGTGTGCAGATTGCACAGTCTGTGCATCACCCATGGCCTTCCAACTCACTGGGTGAGGACAGCATACCCAGTCCATTGTCTAGTATTCTACACAACCAGCATTGCTCCATTTTCAATGACAGTGGGGCACTATCTCCAACTCGTACAGACCAGGGTCAGTTACAACTTCCAGAGGGGGGGATGTCATCTACACATACTGTGCAACCTGCACATTACTGGGAGTCACCTGGCTCCTTCAGTGATGGCTGTGGGGGGTCTCCCTCACATTTTCAACCTGGTACTGTGTTTATTGATCTACTGTCACTGTTTTCTACTGACAAAATCCAAGTAACTGATTTCCACGATGATTGTGCGATGGAATATGGAGAGGTTGATCATGGCAATGAAGGGTATGTTGCAGCTTCTACTGATGAATCCCAAGCCCCTGGTTTCGATGATGACCATGCCATGGAACATGGTCATGACAATATCAATGCTGAGGATTACAATGAAGATTGGGGAGGCTATGGAGCAGACTCCGAAGGTGAAGATGAGCCTGTTGGTTTTAGGATGGCTACATTGGAGAATCCAGGTGGAAGCGAGCAATTTGCAGGACAGCAGCCTTCAAACAAGGCAAGTGATAGATGTATGGTATGATCTCACTCTGACATTCCTTCTTTATAACATGTACTGAAGTAGCTGTACACAGGATATAGCTCTTGAACAGCTCTTGGAATGTGCCAGGTACATACTACTGTACAAAGCTATGCTACATATGCTCATGAACATTCAGAACCAGTCCATGACAAAGGCAGATCTGATCATACTCACATCAGCAGTACTAGACTTGCATGATGCCATTGCAATGCAGGGGGCAACAGAAAAATTGTCTCCAGTGCCAAAAGCCCTATCTACAGTCATGCCTGCCAACCCTGCTCTCAGCTCTGAGGAAGATCAGGTGCCCAACTATGAATGAAAATACCAAGATGGTGCAATGCTCATTTTACAGGCAGGTCTAGCACCCTTAGTGAGGCATCTTGATACTAGGGCTAATATCTTACAGGAGAACATGTGCCAGCATGCAGTCCACCTACTGGATCAAGGGAGCAAGTGGTGTCCTTTTCCAATGGTGAGGGTTGCATCATCACAAGAAACTGCACTATATACTGCTACAGGACATGGAGGACCCACTGCTGAGGACTTCCATTTGGATTTCCATGGAGCACTTTCTTCAGACTGGAACAAACATGCTATGGAAGTCTTTGCATCTCACTTCTTTGAATGTGGATGGTATGGATCTCCAAACAAACACACTATTAAGAAGGTCTTCCAGACTCACTTGCACACCCTACATGTGCAGTACATGAATTTGCAAGCTGATAGTGATCCTGACCATGAGCAGCTGCAAATCAAGCATGACAAAGAAAAAGAGAATGCAAGAGATCAGAGGCACCACTCAGTAAGACTTTCTGACATGGTGTAAGGCTCTGCTGAATCCTGGCTACTTTTTGTAGCTGCAACACCATTGGGCTAACACTTGCTTGGCACATCCAGACCTCACACCCTTTAAGCTCCTTTGGAAAACCCTGCCCCACAATGCGATGAGTGGCAATGTGTCCAACCACCTGCCTGGTGTGAAGTGGTATGCCATTATGCAACTTAACTGGCACTCTCAGATGGCTACTGATTGGCTACAAGTATTTGATTTTATTCATCTTTCCACCTGTTTCAATGCCAATGGCTGAGCCAAACAGGGTGCTTTCCCACATGTATGGGTCTCTTCATGCCAGGTGGAATTGTCAGGTGTGGCAGTCCCTGGTTTACCAAGCAATTTCTATGATAGCACCTGGCTCCTGCATCTGGATGATGGTGATAAAGCCAGGCTTAATGTACTCCCAGAGATGGATTTATCACACACAGAGGCTATTTTGAGGTAAGTTACAGTCGGTCCCCTTGCTTGTACCCTATGCCAATCATATCACACACTTCTAGGGTAGCAGAGAAATTAAAGGGCATGAAAGGGAGGAGGCTTGCAAGTAGTGAGATATGTGGTTCATAGGCTGGGATTACTATCTGGTTAAAAGGAGCACACCTGGTGGTCAATAGCTTTATATTCAAAATTTGTGCTGTCTGGGATTACAAGTTGAAGTTTGCAATGAAACTTGTCTGTAACTTATGTAAGCAAAGCTGTTTGCTCAATGATGGAAAGACAAATATTACAACTTGTGTTGGACCCATATCCTGCTCGTTTTCGCACCACATCTCTCTCTTCTTGGCAGGATTGTACCACTCGACAATAGCTCTCTATCAAGCACAGGATTGTCCTGAAAGGCCAAGCAGTGCTGGAGTTACTCACATTGCTGTGGAGAGATCTACCCTTGAGGTCTTGTTGTCATGTCTCATCCATCTCTACTCCATTCCTCTTGCTTGTTGGGCTGTTTGTTCCCCCCACTGAGACCTCTCTGGAGATGTCTCATCTGTCCAATTCCATGTGGCAGTTGTTGGGATATGCCTGTTTTTGTGGTCAGAAGGGCTGCCTTTGGAAGCACTTTGGCATGTAACTTTGGATTGGGTCATCTGATCAACATTGTTCCTTTTTCTCTGTGTCTGCCTAGGAGTCCACTAATATGTCCCAGATTTCTGTACTGATTCCCCCAGCCATTGTCATTCAAGGGACTCCCTTCTCCTTCCCCTCAGGTTCACTTGTGCATGTGCTGTGTCTTGCCTGTTTCACTTGTTTGGGTCCTGGTACTACTCATTGTAGCTTTCAAATGGTGTATGGTGCATTGCACCCACAGCTGTGGATGTGGAGATATTTTGGGGCTGAGTGTGTGCATTCACCCCATTCCTTTTGCTCCATGTTCATTGTGGTACCCACTGCAGTCTCCTCCAGTTTCATACCATATCAACCAACCATTGTCATTTGGTAGTCTCCCCTTCCCCATCTTACAGCATTGTGTATGCCATATCTTGCCCATTTCTCCACTGGATCTCTCGCTTTCTAGGGATGTGGTACCAATCAACAAGCACTTTCAAACAATATATTGTATGTTGCAGTAACTGCAGTGGATGTGGAGATACCTTGGGACTGGGAGCATGGATCCTATGCACCAGAGAGCATATGATGCATATGAGTCTAGACTAGTAGTAATTGTCCCAATTTGTAGTGATGGCAAGAAGAAAGACATCTGGCATGCTGGTAAGTCCAGCCTGTAATCCCAGGTGTGTGAGGCAATTTCAGAGGCCCAGCAATTTTCAGTCTGGGAATTACATTATTTGAGCAATATCATTGATTTAGTTTTGTATAACTCTTGTATATTCCATATCACATAATGCAAGCATTATCCAAGATGCCAATTCCAATAATTCCAATATGTGGTGATGAAGTACAGGAAACATTATTTGAACAATATGACTAATTTTCATTCACATATTGCAAGGTTACTTTTTGCATAGTGTTGCTCCCATGATAATGGAATTACATTAAACCAATAATGACACATACACAGAAGATATTTGGACCAACTTTTTTGATTTCATAAGCATATTGCACAATACAAGATGTTAACATTATACAAATTTGATTTAAGATATTTCTGTCATAATGTCACACATACTATTTTGAAGTTATTGAAACTAATGTTTACTATAATGTCCTGAAATATGGTAAACATTATTGGAATCTGCACCTTGTGTAATGCCATTGAAACCGATGGAGAAGGCACTGAAGTAATAAACTTTTCCTCCATTGATGACATTCCCAATGATTATCCTCATCAGGAAAATTATCCAATCAATGCTGCTGATGATTTTGATATTACTGCTATTGAAATTAACTGTGAGAATACTCCTGAGTACTCTCCTGCACCTGCTGCAGTTGAGAATGTTTACTCCAACAACCTTGAAACCTTTTTAGGTTCCCACATGTGATGCCCAATCATATGACCTGGATTTGTCCCAACAGGACATTACTATGGCTATGGAAACCATTGGAAACTCCAGTACTTATCCTGTTGATGCAAGTACTTGTCAAGTCTGGGCCTACTCTGACCAACTCTGACACTAGACAAGGTCTGGGGAGAGGTTTGGAAGCAAGTCTGACAGAAAGAACTGAACTCTGACTGGCAGAGTGTTGGCAGGAATGAAGTCTGCTGAGATAAAGGTGGATCAGAGTGAGGATGTTGGGTTTAGCTCATGTGCTACCCCCTTGCATGATCTCAGCCCTTGTATTTCAGAGGGAGAGTACAGATGGACAGTTGGAGGTAACTCAAACAGGCAGAAGACAGAAACAGAGGGAGTAGGAGCTAAGTCAATATTCATACTGAAGAACAGTGGAGTACAATACATGCTTTTATACTACTACAGAGGTACAGTAATCAGAATCAGAACTGTCATATGGAGACTTGTAAAATTTCAAGTAAAACTTCCTAGACAACAAATGAAGGGTGGACAGAGGACATATGAACAGGTAACACAGAACATCCCAAAGAGGAAACAGTCCAGGCACTGGACCATGTGGTGTGCATGCTGTGGAGTACCTGATCACACACTGTCAGGGAGAAGTCTGAAGGGTAGTCTCATGACTCCTCAGAGAATGAGAATGGCCCACATGGTCCAGTAGGAGAGCAGTACAAGTCTGACAGCAGTCAGAGCAGAGGTGACTCATAAATGTCAGGGGATGGGCAGAGTTGGTGCAGAGTGAGCAAATGACCAGTGGAAAGGGGTGTGGAGTGAGTGAGGACCTAGGATGAATGCATGGTCATGACAGTGCCCCCCCTTAGGGCCTGAACCCTTGAAGGCCACATGTATGGGATGAGATCAACATGAGTTGATCATTTGAAATTATTTTGATGCCTTGTGGGTAATGGCTCTAGCTGTGGCAGAGCTCTGTTGGAGTCTGAAGAACTGCTTAAAAACATGTGCTAGGGTTCTGAACCCTTGTCCCTTCCCCCCATCATCATGTCTTCCTAGCACCAAAGCAAAACCCCCAGCCAACCCCCAGCCATGTCTGCAACTATTCCCAAGTCACAGATGAAGAACTGGTCATCCTCACTGACAACTCCACTGACACTGAGCAGGAGAAGTCTGCAGAGAAGGCATGCTGATGAGAGGAGACTGAGCAGAGAGTGTGTGTGTGTGAGGCAGAGCACAAGGCCAAGCATGAGGAGGCCAAAAGGTGGAAGGTGGAGGAGGAGAGGTTGGAGGTGGAGCAGAGGAAGAGAGTGGAGGAGGAAGAGGAGGCCCAAAGGAAGAAGGTGGCAGAGGAGGAGGCAGAAAGGCAGGGGCAGAGGGCCTCTGAGGAGAGGGCTCAGGCCAGGCAGGATGAGGCTGCACAAAGGTGAGTGGTGGAGTACTATGAGTCAGGCAGAGCTGACTCACAGTTTTATTTTCTTAGACTATGCAGCATGGTGTATGATGTCAACACTGCCCAGAGGGTCCCTGGGACCTCTGTGGTGGTCACCATGACCAGGTGGCCCCCCTGGACTTGCTGTGTAGTGAGCCTGACAGTGGGGCAGTGTGAGCCAGGACAAGGCAAGACCGGGGCCTGTGTGCCCTGCCACAAGAAGAAAAAGGTGTGTAGTTGGACAAGGGAGGATGCAGTGGCAGGACCATCACAGAAGAGAGTGGGGACAGGGAGTTCCAAAGGAGAGAAGAAGAAGAGACTGTGAGGGAAGGGGAAGGAAAGAGCAACAGAGATGGAAGAGGTGGATGATGAGCAGGAGGCAGGTGGAGGGGAAGATGAACCAGTGACCCTGCTTGAGGGTCCCTCAGGTGCAGGAGTCCACACATGGTGGGTGGAGTGGGAGCAGGAGTGGCAGTTGTAGGACATGGAGAAGCAGGCCAAAGCACATGAGACTGCTGCACTGGCCTTTGAGAGGATGGCAGATGCAGCAGAGCAGATGGCAGCAGCTGCAGAGTGGACAGCTGATGAGTAGGCACTGTACCACATCTGGGCAGAGTGGGTGGAGATGAGGAGGAGGGAGGATGCATGAGAGGCCAGGATGGCTGAGCTCAAGTGCACTGGCAGTGGTTGGAAGAGGCCTCAGTCAGAGGTGGCAGAGGAGCAGTGTGAGGAAGTGGATGAAGGTGCAGAGGGGGATAATGAGGAAGAGGAAGAAGTTGGAGGAGAGCCAGAAGGTGGAGAAGGACAGGAGGGTGGCAGAGAGCAAGCAATGGAAGAGTAGTGTAGATTTCTTTCTTTCTTTCTTTTTTTTTGTCTTTTGTTTTTAGTTTGTACATTTTGTACTACTATGGAATAGACTTGTGACTTTGCTTGTGATTCTGAGAAGTGAAATGGATAAGTGGAGAAAATTCTAAAGTACTTAAGGTAGTTCAGTAAGGGGCAGAGTTGGCCTGTGGAGGAAGGTTATGTGGGTGGAGTACTATGGCAGAGGTTGATACAGGCCATGTTTGTGCAGATAGCATTTGTGGAAAGCAGAGACTATGTCAGAAGTGTGATCTAGCTCAGTTGCAAGCAACCAAGAGGTTTCTTCATTGGTATTCTCATAACCAGCCCAGTGGACTAGATACAAGAGTTGACAGTGGTGGCAATGGTGGTCCACCTTAGAGTTGAGTATCTCTGACACTTCATACTCAAGGTCACCATTGACATCTACTGGCAGAGGCAGAGGTTGTTGTTGATTTGGGAAAGGGTTATCCACTGTGGCTTCCAGTTGTGAGACATGGAAGACCAGATGTACCAAGCATGAAGCTTAAGGGTGATGGAGTGTGTGCCTGGCCTAGCCAAGATGGTGAATGGACCTAAGTACTTTTTGGAGAGTTTTTCCAAAGGATGAGTGGAGCAATCAATGTCAGGGACAAAGATGCAACCATCAAGGCAGAGTAGACTGTCAGAGTCCAGGGACCACTGAGGCTTAGTTGGAGTTGGAAGATGGCTGGCAGAGACAGGGTCAGATGGTAGGGTGGAGATGATGTT